TACAACGTATCGTACTGAGCAAAGCTCGATACATCGGTACGGTACGAAATTTCAAACCTTACTACTGAGGCATTATGTTGTCAACTCTTGTTTAGATTTTGTGCTTGCTAATATGGTTATTTTCTTGCCTATACAGGAGAACTCACATAACGTTCACTTTTGCTTGCCCCAGGTTGGCTTTAGTTTGAATTCTTTTAGAAGCCAAGGCCATTAAATTTTTTTATTCTTGAATCTAGTTGTTGATTGTGGCTTTATGGTCTGTTCAGACTCTTGACGCTATAAAGAGAATATGCCCCAAGCAGGCACTACTAATTGGAATGACACATGAGTTTGATCATTACAAGGATAACATGCTTCTTGCAGAATGGTCAAGACGGTAAGATATCATGATATTCTTCTTGTTTATCAAATAAGATTATAGTTTCCAAACTGTTAAATGCTTGTTTAGCAAAATCTCACCATTGTTGAGAAGGCATTGTAAAAATTTAAAACATATGCTACATTGAGCTTTCTTGAATGTGGCATTGCAAAGTAGATATGTATATCTTTCAGATGCTTGCACATAATGCATCGTTAGCTGCTAGCTAACCTGGGGTAATTTGTTTTTTTCAGAGAAGGGATCCCAGTGCAGCTTGCTCATGATGGTTTACGAGTGTTCATTGATTTGTAATTAGGTATGATCTCTGTACACTTGGTTATCTTTTGCTGCATAAGTGAACAACTAAGCATGTTAGTTTATCGTGCTTGGATAAAGTCCAATTTAACAACATATGAAGAGTTTCGGTTTACTGTGCTTTAGATTGCAACATCACCAATTGTCGAACTTGCTTTTCTGGTGAACGTGCTGTTATGATCTTCTTGGTGCCCTTGAAAGTTATTTAGTACCTCATTCGTTCTGTAGGTTCTGGACATAAACCTCATAACTGTTGTGCCCACCAGGTTTTAGATTCCACTGCACATTTTACTTTTTATCCTATTGCAACTATGTTTCACCCCATTGAATTAGTTATCTCCATCTACAAGCGATAATACCATCTAATTTTGAAACCGAATTAAACATGTCCAATAAAAAGAAAAAAACACAGATAGACTGATTTTATTAAACATGGCCAGTATGATTTTAATCCTGTAGGCTTTGGGGAGAGATGCAGACGTGATGATATTATCTTAAGCTTTTATACTTTCAGCTACAGAAATGATGATTGCTTTATGTTTTTTGTCCTACAGATTAAAAATATACAACCATTTGGAGGTGGTCTTGTTTAGTTGCCAAGCCACCCTTTATATGCCGTAATCAGTTTTACAAGGATCAGTTCTCCATTTGTTTTCTCTCATCAGTCGCCCACAGCGGCAGCTTACAAAGACATGCTTGATGGTATATGTTTTCTTGATACATTTTTCTTACAAGTATAGTGCGGATACCTTTTTAAGGAGTTGGACACCCACAAGACACACTTGTTTTTGAACTTCACATGAAGAAAAATGTCAGCAATTATGTGATAGTAATTTCATCAATTTCCTTCTCGCTTATACTGTTTGCTATGGATTTTTTTCTAATCCAATTTATGTATGTCTAGTTTTCTTAATGGTTTTCCTAATACTTTTAAAGCTGGAGTATTTCTTATGATGTTTTATCCTTTTGGAGGCGTTAGCAGCATAAGTTTTCTTCTTGCTGTTTGACTCCAAAAACCAGCATAATCTTGAGTTAATATACGATTTCTAGAGGCATCACAATCCAACCTGTACAGAATACAGAATTGGTTCGTCAGTTTCTGTCAGAAATCTTGTAAAAGACGACGCGTCAAGCAACTTCTTGTTTACCGCGTTTGCAATCTCCAATCCGGAATCCCCGGCGGAGAGGCCGCCGAGGGGTGGTAGCAGCCGGAGGCACACCATCGCGAAGTTTCTGGGCACCACCACCACCTCGAACCTCTCGTCCCTGGCGACGAGCCCCTCGAAGCGCTCAGCCATGTTGACGTGGCTCCCGATGAGGTTCCTGAGGTTGGCCACCCCGTACCTCCGCACCAGCTTCAGTGATCGGAAGCGCTCAGCCATGTTGCGGCTCGGCTCCTTCACCCCATAGGCAGTGGCAGCAGTCCAAGGTGGTGAAGAACCATTTGTGGGCGTTGAGGCTGAAGGATCACGACGTCGATGAAGTGCCGCAACTCCGGGCAGATGCAAGCATTGCCAGAGTGCGCGTCGACGTGGACCCAACTCCTTAAACTTCAACGTGCTGCTGCTGCCTGTGGGGGAGCCAAGGGCTCGTAAGGCAGCCGTGCCTTCCTTATCCTCGGAGTCGCCTTTTGAAGCTTTGTGATTCCTTATCCTCAGAGTCGTCTTTTGAAGCTTTGTGATTCCGAAAGGGTAAAACCGTGCGGGTAAAATCGTGCAGGTTCGATCGTACTCATCCAAAGCAAATAATCCCTCGCACCCTCGAGGTGCACCGAGACAGATCAGGTGGTCTCATATCAAATTAGAAACTTCACTATGGTCTGCTTCCGGCTGCTACCACCCTTGGACGGCTTCTCCGGGTTTGAGACTGCAAACGCGATCGACGCGGTGTACGTGACCGATGCGGCGGTGGGAGGAGTCGACCTGATCCCGTTCGCGGTCGGCGCCTCGCCCACGGAAACAGATCCAGTTAATGGATTGTCGAACATGGTTGGCTACTGTCGAGCTTGCTTTTCTGCCGAAGCTGCTGTTAAGATCTCTTTTCACTACAAACCCTCAAATCTAATCTTTGAGTTAATGTTCGATTTGCAGAGGCATCAGAATCAAATCTCACTTTCCTATGGATCGTTGTACCTCAAGAGTGCGATCGAGTTCATAAATCTGCGGATGCCACAGCCGAGCAGCAACTGCAGCTGTATCAACTGTGGCAGATGAAACACTCCCTCGCATTTACTGAGGGTGATTCCACAAGCAAACAGAGGGAGCTTCGTCTCGTTCTCCGGCGCTCATGTATGGTTTTCTCGACAACGTTCGGCCCATTTAGTGGAGTTCTTCGATGAATCCAAATTATTACGAATTGAAAGTACTCCTTATTTCTTTTACTATCTTTTTTTTTTTTCTTTCTCCGTAGAGTAAAGTCAACAAGTGTGGTATCATAGCTTAGTTCGAAGAAGACTAGGAGTATCAATTCCAAAAAAAAAAGAAAAGGTGAGACCAGTAGATCCAAAAGGTTTAAAAAGAAAAAAGATGACAGACATTAGAGTAAATAATTCTAATCAAATTCTTTCTATCTTCAAAAGTAAAAATTATCTATTTTGGGTTGTTAAAATGAGAAATCTATTTATTTCATAAGGATTGTGAAATTTGTTAAAAAAAAAATAGTTTTGTTGAATACGACCTCCAAGATTCCAATATTATTAAAGATAAAAAAAAAGATCGAACAAAAAGATACAAGAGTTCTCTAGGTGCTACAATAAGTAATAGATAAGTTTCTATTTTTTCGAATTATGTCAATATCAAAAAACTTAAAAAATATTAAAAAAATATGCTTAGAGGTACAAACAAGGTAAAAACAGAAGGCTTTAGATTCTTCAACATGAATTTGAAACTCTCGTGATGAAAGATTCTAAATCTATCATCAAGTTTTTTCTTAAAAATCACTTTTATTATGAATCAAATGAGATCATAACCTAAAAGATCAAATAGTAGTAGAAAAATTTTTATGAAGTTTATCTCCAAAATTTTATATATTTTTTATTACTATAGAAGAAGCTAAAGATACAAGCATATTGTTTATTGATAAATTAAGAAGCTCACTTTTAATTCATGAACAAAAAGTGAATATATATTCAAATGAAACATGCTATTCAAATAAAAATATATCAAAAAAATAACCAAAAGAAAATTTTAGAAATCATGTCTCAAGGAAGAGGTCAAAATGATAGAGGCTATGAACGATCTAATGCTCGAAGCAAGGGACAAAGTCGATCAAATAAAAGTTAGAGAAACCCAAATGAATGAATTTAGGTAGAAGGTAAAGGAACACTTGTTGTGAACACCAAATATGATAAAAAATTTATTAATGATGTGTTGTTTATTCATAGTTTAAAATAAAATATAGGGTAACTAATGAGAAAAAGGATATTATGTTATTTTCTATAATGAAAAAGTTTGATTTATGATAAGAAATCTATAACTTGATAGCAACTATAACGATGATAAAAAAGTAAAATGTTTCCTTTATTATTTTAGGATTTCTTACATGTATTCACTACTATAAATCAATATTATGAGATAAAAGATATGGTATCTAAATTATGACAACTAGAACCGTTAAATAAGAAGAATATGATAGTTGGTTTATCTAAAATTAAAAATAAAGATACTATTTGTGAATCTTGGTAAAGAACAATTGAAACTTATGCAGATATTTGGGAGACTATGCAAACTATCTCACATTGTGAAAGTAAATATTTTTTATTATTTATAAATGATTGCACAAAGATGATACAGGTATATTTTCTGAAAGAAAAAGCTGAAGTCTTCTCTATTTTTAATTTTTTTTAATTATATGTAGAAAAATAAAGTGATTGTTATATTAAAACTTTATGTATTGATAGAGAGGTTGAATTTATTTTTAAAGATTTCTTTAATTTTTTTAAGAGTATAGGCATTTAAAGAGAACTAGCTGCAAGCTACACCCCCTAACAAAAAAATATAGTAGAGTGGAAGAACCAAGTTGTAGTGGAGATCGTCAAATGTATGATTAAAAAAAAAAAGTAGTATGGAAAGAGTTTTGGAAACTATGAGTACAATAGTATATTTGTTAAACCACTTTCTTACCAAGACAATATAAAGGAAAACTATTGGGAAACCTGAGAGGTATCAGGTGCGTAGTGGAAGAACAGAAACAAAACTAATTTCTAAAAGAATAATATCTAGTCATCGTGTGAAGATTAGTGCGGCAAAATCATAAAACCGAAAAACAACATAACACGTGTGAGATGTTTTACCTAGAGGATATCATATATCCCTGAAAATATAAATCCAAATGCATGGACAAAAAAGGTCAGATGTCCTCCTTTCTAGTGGTGGTGACCCACACAACAAATGAAGTGGCGATGCTTCTCCTTTTGCAGCACAAATCCTCGTAGACTTTGCGCACCACCTTGCAACAATGAACAAGAAGGGTCAGCCCCTTCTTGTTGTCTTTTTGCGCCGCCAAGAGGGCTATCGACTGAGGAGGAGAGGGAGGGAGAAGAATAGAAGATAGTAGTCAAAAAGAGTATAGCTCATAACCCCTTTCGTCCCCTCCTATTTATAGAGGTTCATGTCAACTTAACCTTAATAGATCCTGCCTTATTTGGTACTAGATCTTTATCTAATTATCTAAGTCTCTTAGATTAATGGATCTCTATCAAATAATCACTATTTGCTCTTATTGGGTCTCACTCAAAAGATCCAATAATATAGGGGCTTATTGAATATCTAAAAAAATAGAGGCTCGACAAATATCTTATATCCAAACCTTTACTCGTCGTAATATCTATCATATATGTGTGACCCTCTAGGCCTAATATCAAGCTGGCTGTGTGTCACACCTATCAAAACTCATTTTGACTTAGTGAAATATTATCTTCATAATAATTCACTCGACTCATCAACTATGGACGTACTAGGCCACTATACCATAACCCCTAGACGATACAAGGGGATCCAATCCATTTGACATGTTTGTCCTTAATTACTATATATTTATAGTTCCTTATCTATCTAATATTTCGAAGATCGTATATCGGCCATGGTATTATTAGGCCCCTACAGAATCTTCTTAAGTCTCACTCTAATCGAATTCTCCTAGAGAACTTCTCTCTCAATCCCAATGACCCTAGCTAGATATTTGCTTGAGTGAGAATACATGAAATATTTCTCTTATGACAGCAAGACTGGATGATCCTCTATCGACACTCAATCACCCTCGTAAGGTTGACTACCACTCCCGATGACCAGTTGTGCTAGATATAGAACTTCCGAACCTATAAGTCTGATATTAAAGAGTGGAGTACTCATACACGACATCCTTGGTGTCTCAAGTCTAAAGACTAGACACACAAAATTGTTGTCCGACAATGAGGTATCATTAACCATCCAACATTCCATAAACATGTTAATCAGTGAACTCATTCTCTAATAAGCATATGCATTGTACCCATAGTGTTCCCACACGAGCGACTATGAGACTAGCCACCTCCATCATATGGACAGGTATACAGCACATCGGTCTATTCAACTATCTCGATGTCCCTCTCGAGTAATCTATGAACGAAAATATTTATGATCTATGTTTATAGACGAATTTATCTCATTATCATGATCTAATTCTCAATGCACAGATATAAGGACATCACATTATATGCAATAGACAACATAAAATGAGAAAATACTAATAATAATAAAAAGCCATGTTACATATGTCATCAATGATACTAGTAACTAGCAAAAACATCTTATAAAAATATAGTTGAATAAAAAGCCAAATATAAGAAGTATATCATACAACTAAGAAGTATACAAATTGGATTAAGTATTATATGACTTAAAACAAATACCGAGCGTATGGTGTAACAAAATTAATAAATAATTTCTTCAATATAATTAGATAAAGTATACAAATTGGATTAAGTATTATATGACTTAAAACAAATACCGAGCGTATGGTGTAACAAAATTAATAAATAATTTCTTCAATATAATTTTTTTTAAAACTTAAGTGAGCCAACTTTATATATAAAAGCTCATGATATGAAAATTTTTATTTGTATATGGATAATGTGATTTATATTAAAAATTTATCATATATGCTTATTGAATTTAAGAAAAATATGATAATAGAATTTGAATTGATTGATCTAGGACTTTTACATTATTTTCTAAGAATAAAAATTATTTAGAATGTAAATAAAATTTTTTGTGTCAAGAAAAATATGCTAAAGATTTGTTATAAAAGATTTCATATCATAACTTATAAACCAGTGAATACTCCAAGAATATAAATAATAAACTTATGCTAGATTATAAAGTTAAAAAAATAGATGAGGAATAGTATAGAAGTTTAATTAGAGAGTTAATTTATCTTACACGTTCGAGGTCGAATATTATGTTTGTAATTAGTTTGTTATCCAGTATTAGTAAACATCAGTTTGGAATTCTCAATACTTCAAAAAAAATCTAGCAAATGTTTTAAAAAAGATAAGATTGATCAATTAAAATATAATTAAAAAAATTTCTCGTTCCTTCTATTATATTTTTTACCTTCTCCCTCCGAGGAAGCCAACACAGATGCCTTCTTTCATCTAGTGTTTCTGATGGTAGCAGCGAGTCGTCATCCCTGATGCGTCTTCGTGTTTTGCCGGGCCGGGCCACGTGACCGTCACCCTGGGCTGGTGCATCAGCTACATGACCGGGAAGCTGGCGACCCCCACGGGCTCGTGCTGCGACGGCGTGCCCCGGCTCCGCAACATGGCGGCCTCCACGGCCGATCGGCGCATCGCCTGCAACTGCATGAAAGAAGGAGCCGCCCACATCCAGACCTGATAGACGACTCCATCAGAGCCCTCCCCGGCCCGTGCTCCGTTGCGCTTTCCTTCGCCGTCGGCTTGCAGACCGACTGCGGCACGTACGTATGGGTTTGTTCCCTCTCTTTTCCCCTCTACCTGTGTGCGGAAGCCGAGGGATTGCTTTTGTGCTGCAGAGGTTATAGCGTGAGCATGTATGCGTTGTAGCACAGGAAATAAGCCAAGCTGGCTTTGTTAAGGAAGTGTATACGGTCAGCAATCCATTATAGCTGAGTAGTTGTTGTTGCGACATGAAATCGAGAGGATGGTTGGGACCGTCCGATCGATGACGATGATGATGATGATGATCACAAGAAATCTAAATTTTGGAGATGGCGAAGCAGCACAGAACCAATTTAACCCGTGCATGGCATCTCATATCCAGCGGCAGCACACAGTAGACGTCGCGACACGAAGCACATGATAAGATGAATCTATCTTATGACTTGGTAATGAATAGATCCTGTGTCTTAATAATTTATTATTTGAGATAAGTATTTTTATATCCATGAAGACAAAAGAATCCAAATATCAAAAGAGAAATTCTGAAATATAAAATTTAATTATTTTATAAACACTTCATGTATCTTTAAATTTTGATTGAAAAGATAATAACAATACTTTTATATATAGTATATTCTCGTACACACCAATATAAAAATCCCTTATTTAAACACTGTAATGATCTCAAGATCTTCCCCTCCTTTTTCTTTTGAACAGCAGAACATATCCCCTACATCACTGAATTAAATATTGCAAAGATCTATTGGACGTGCTTGCCGTCAACTTACTTGACTGCATGTGCACGATAATTAATGATGTTGGATTATGTTCGATTTTGTTGAACTTAAAATGCTTTTTTTACGTCGCTTAGTCATGCCTACTGTTTCAACACAGGGGAGGGGGTTGCTTCCAGTATTTGATGCCGACCAAAGAACAGGTTTCCAATTATTACGTATCCATCACTATTTCGTATACTGTACGTTATAATCCATCAGACAAACAAGTCGATGTCAGACAGCACATTATTACTATGTATATACTGCCGGACGAAAGCTGACATGAGCAGTAGCTGGTGGCCTCGAGCAAGCTTCGATGTGTGAGAGAGAGGAGTCCACGGCCGTCCATGGATTCCATGTTTTCCAAGACACGTGCACGACTGTTGCTGTCGACACACCAAACCCCAATATAATATCTTTCTACCTTCCTCAGAAGACACCTAATGGTAGATACGACCAGTTTGCCACATGTAACGTGTGGGCCACTTAATAGTGCAATGCATTTACGCTGCTGAAATTTCCTGAGAGGCCTCGCAACAACAAATATGTGACTCTCTCTCTCTCTCTCTCCTCCATTTTCTTCACCTACAGATTATTCATCTCCAGTAATCTGCCGTCTAGGCTTCGTTCGTTGACTAATCATTCATGCAGTCTTCATCTCCTTCTACGATTAAGAGGTGCATTACTGAACAAACTTTAATCTAAGACGATGATTCATCTTGTGGTCCAAATGCATGAATGTGGACTGCATGCCACCATTTTCCTGTTCACAAAACTGGCATCGAAGCTTCACCATCATTAAAAGACTTTCACCTTGGCCACTGTCGTTCATCCACCTCTTCTTCCTTTCCCTTATTATCTTCGGTCGTACTTATAGCGGAGAAGACAAACCACCACTGTGTTATATATGTTCCCACAACATGGAGACTAAATTAAAGCGTTCGTGCATCATATGAGTAGTTGTTAGATGTATAAACAAGTACGTATTACTATCGAATCACAAAAAAGTTGAGAGTGAGCCTATCAAATCGAAGACGTACGGTGATATCATATCTTCCCGATATATGGCATTGGTCGGTCAGCAGCAGCACGCTTTTCTCGTTTATATCCTTCCACAAGATCCCGAGTTATGGATGCAACACGATAGCATCATTCGCCGCCGTCGTAATGCATGCTTTCCACAAAAGTAAGCTCTACGTGGTGCAATGTCACTGCACGAACCGGTGGTTGCTGTTCTGTGGATACAGAGCTCAACGAGGGGTGTCGCCCTCAAACCACGTTGTTCACGTTTGCCATTTGATTCGGTCGTGAAGAGGACGGCATCGACGTCGATCGGTCACTAAGAACAACAAGAGTCTGTCCTCTGCCTGCGATTGGGCTGTTTCTCCCTGGCTGAGATTTGCGACTTTAGCTTTTGCTGGGGAAGGCGTCACGACGATTTCTGCGTCAGGTCCGGTGATCGATTAAGATTTGCTCCATAAAGTGTGGGTCAAATATAGGATTCTAATTTTGACTCGGTCAGCGAGTAGGTTTAGTTAATACACACCGATCCATATCACATGGGAAATTAATTGATTAGAATGAATGAATGTTTGCATGAAATATGCAATGTTTACGTAATCCTTTTTGTTGTTGATAAAATCATGGTTTTAATTTTAAATTTTGACTACGTCTTTTTTACATGAACGAATTTAAACCACACTGGAACTGCTTTTAGATATGACACTTCTCTCTAAATATTTAAAAGCATTGTTTGGCTGACACTCGGGTACAATTATTAGGCAGAGCTGTGCATTCACATGATCACGATCTATCATTGCATTTGCAGCTTTTATTTTCGGTCTCTTTCAGTAATAGATTATGTTTTTAATCCTAAAGTTCTCAGACAAATGGTGAGAAACAATATGCGGTAGCTATAGCATATATAGAGAGAGAGTGTGTGTGTGTTCATTGTGCTGTCACAGTCATGCTTCCATTTTATGAATTGTAGCAAAACAATTATAATCAACCTGAGAAACTCTCCGAGCAGCTGCAAGCTAAGCTCCCCAAAGTGTCATGGTGGAAAACCTAACCAAAGCATGTTGTTCTTTGATTCGATGAAGAGCCATATTAAGGTCTCAGAGAGAGAAAATTCTATGTATCTGGCATTAGCTGGTCAGCCACCATAAACTAATTGACATGCACTATGTTCAGCTTCCACGCCAGCAGATACGATGATGATGATTAACCAGCACTTGTCACTTCATTCTCCTTGCTCTAGCGTGACCAATTACTGTACCGGACGATGGAGTTACTGTACCGGATGGAATTGTCTTTGTGACAATACCGGACGTTTCTTACGCATGTGATGACCACAGCCCGAGAAGAAGAGAAATGAGCGAGCTGTGCGCATGCATGGGAACGGAGCAGGAATCGGAGGCGGGTGGGTGGCGGGTTGCCATCGAAGGGTTAGGCCGACGTACGACGTGGAGAAGTGGCCAAGTCGGTCTCCCAGCTCTGCGAGTCCGTCTCCTCGCCGCGGAGGTGGCGGACCCCGCCGCGTACTCCACGCCTAAAACGTGCCGCCTTGGCTGGCCCGCCGCCTCGTTGGTGTACGCTTTCCGACGGTAAAAACGTAGGAGGAAGAGACGGAAATGAAAGAATATTACTGGATGGATCAAAAGAAAGCGATTATTTTCATTTATAATATGCGAGCAAAAAGATTATTCTTATTATGGACTCCAAATAATAAAGCAAAAAAAAGTGCATATATATATATATATATAACCTTTTGTGCATTTGTTAATCTTGGTATCGTGAAGGGTAATAGCTTGACGAACGGTGGTTGAGACGGAGTTACAAAAGCTTTGACGAACGGATGAATGGACGAGCACCACCGTGGAGAGGTGGTTGAGAGGAAGCGGAGACAGCTTGACGAACGGACGACTGGATGAGCTCCTTCGATCTCTCCCTCACCCCGTGGCAGTAAAAAGACTCGGCTGTGTCCGTAACCTTCTGAAGCCCACCAACGTGCGTCACCAATTAGATGTGCCGCGCTGGTGCTCGCAAGTTCGTCTTCTCACGCTCTCTCTCTCCCTCTTCACCTTTACATCTTCCACGTTGGCTTCGCATCTCCCTATAAAAGTTCCTCCTCCCCTCCTCGAGGTCTTCACTCAGCGGCCAACAAATACAATATCTCTTCCTCCCGTGGGCTCCCCTGCTCCATTCGCCTCTTCCTTCACCACAAACACACAAATGGGGAGCCTCCACGACGTCGTCGAGAACACCAACGTGGTGTGCCCGCCGAACCCCCTCGACCCCGAGGAGTTTCGCCGGCAGGGCCATATGATCGTCGACTTCATCGCCGACTACTACCACAACGTCGACAAGTTCCCGGTCCTCAGTCAGGTCTCCCCTGGCTACCTCCGGGAATGCCTCCCCGACTCGGCACCTAACCACGCGGAGCCCATCGAGGCGATCCTACAGGACGTCCGCAACCACATCGTCCCCGGCATCACTCACTGGCAGAGCCCCAACTACTTCGCCTACTTCCCCTCCAGCGGCAGCATTGCCGGGTTCATGGGCGAGATGCTTAGCGTCGGCTTCAACGTCGTCGGGTTCAACTGGATGTCGTCTCCCGCGGCCACCGAGCTGGAGACCATCGTCATGGACTGGCTGGGCAAGATGCTGAACCTCCCCAAGCCCTTCCTTTTCTCCGGTGGCGGGGGCGGCGTGCTCCAAGGCACCACCTGCGAGGCCATCCTCTGCACCGTGACAGCAGCCAGGGACAAGGTGCTGACCAAGATCGGGAGGGATCGTATTGGCGACCTGGTGGTCTACTGCTCCGACCAGACCCACTGCGCGCTCAAAAAAGCGGCGCAGATCGCTGGCATTCACCCGGACAACATCCGCGCGCTGCGGACCCGCCGGTCCGACGCCTTTGGGCTGTGCCCCGAGACGCTGCGCTCCGCACTGGCGGACGACGTCTCCGAGGGGCTTGTGCCGCTGTACCTGTGCGCCACCGTGGGCACGACCTCATCGACGGCGGTCGACCCGCTCCGGGGGCTGTGCGAGGTGGCAGCGGAGCACGACATCTGGGTCCACGTCGACGCCGCCTACGCTGGCAGCGCGTGCATCTGCCCGGAGTTCCGGCACTTCATCGACGGCGTGGAGGGCGCCGACTCCTTCAGCTTCAACGCCCACAAGTGGTTCTTCACCACCTTGGACTGCTGCTGCCTGTGGGTGAAGGAGCCGCAACACCTGGTGAACGCCCTCTCCACCAACCCCGAGTACCTGAGGAACAAAGCCACGGAGTCGAAAAAGGTGGTGGACTACAAGGACTGGCAGATCGCCCTCAGCCGTCGCTTCCGATCGCTGAAGCTGTGGATGGTGCTGCGGAGCTACGGGGTGGCCAACCTCCGGAACTTCATCAGGAGCCACGTCAACATGGCTGAGCTCTTCGAGGAGCTCGTGACCAAGGACGAGAGGTTCGAGGTGGTGGTGCCCAGAAACTTCGCCATGGTGTGTTTCCGGCTGCTACCACCCCTCGGCGGCCTCTCCGCCAGGGACTGCGGATTGGAGACTGCAAACGCGATCACCAAGAGGTTGCTCGACTCGGTGAACGCGACCGGGAAGGTGTACGTGACCCACGCGGTGGTGGGAGGAGTCTACCTGATCCGATTCGCGGTCGGCGCCTCGCTCACCGAGGAGCGGCACGTCCGGTCGGCGTGGATGGTGGTGCAGGAGCAAGCCGAGGCTCTGCTGGCGGAGTTCAACGTACATCCCGTGATGCAGGAGCAAACAGACGCCGTGCTAACTGCGGCCGTGCATGGTTGACGCCTCAGTTTCCATGCGAAGAGGTGACCAATTCGCCATACATAATATAATAATTATTATTATTATAGCAAAGCCACGAATATGTCCAGAATAAAAAAAAACACTTTTTTCCTGTATTTTATTTTTTGGGGTCTTATTATTTTCCTTCCTTTCTCGGAGTGATTTTGTATTTGTATTGTAATGAAAAATTCTTCGAATTGCACTGCTTATGATTAATATAAACTGTGTTAACATGCAGGAAATCTTGCAGATTAATGGCTTCATCAAAACATAAATAGAATCTTAGGATTTAGTGTATATATTATAAGACGGGTGCATGCATGATGTTGAAAAAAAATCTTTCAGAAAAATCATATTGAAGTGATAATAAAATAATATATATTTCAAAATTAAAAATTCATATTATAATAATTTATAATCTTACTCTTTATTCCTCGCATATGCTTTCAATTATATGATTAAAGTATTGAGGAGAACGACCTTCGTGAGGAGACAGAGGCCATCCGATGTGTGTGTGTGTGAGAGAGAGAGAGAGAGAGAGAGAGAGAGAGAGAGAGAGAGAGAGAGCAACCTTGTCGGACGCCATGAAGAATCGTTCGATGTGCGGCCACTCGGAGGGACGAAGATTTGACACTTGGGATTGCATTTAAGTTTGGTGGAACATTGTTGAACTCCGTTTGACCGTGTGCCATGGCAATGCATCATCGGCTTTGTTTATTGGCTGCACAGATTGGGTTTCTCTTCCCATTATTCCGCTGAGGCTGCGATCGAGTTGATGGTACTCATCCAAAAACATAAATCATCATTGCAGTCTCTACTAAATATACAGTACATGAAGAACGGTGGTTGGAGTGTAATCCTGAACAGCATTTCATTTGTTTGGATCCACATCATTAGGTGTATAAATAATTAAAAGCTCGATGGAAAAAAAATATATATATATACTCGATCTGAAAAAATCAGTATTTTACATTATACGACGAAAGCGTGTAAATTAAATCTGACGACGTAGAAGAAATTGATCCCACAAAATTGTTGTGTGGCTGTGAAACGAAAGAAGAACAAAAGATGACTTTTGAGTGCTTAACCTTTGCATAATTTGTGGACTCCATCTCTCTGACATTTATTTTGTTGCACTCGGAAAGGGGGGAAGGACGTTGCTGTTCCCATGGCCATTGAGGTCTTGAGCCACCAAACTCACCATGACATCATTGAAGGTGACAGGAAGAACATGATGAACAATAAAGTAAACTAGTTCTTGGTTTTAAGATGTTGTAGATTAACATGGGTGGAGCTACATGATTGGAATGTGCCACATGGACTGGAATCAGTACCCTTTTCAGGTTGGATAGATAGAATATATTTGTAAATCCCAAAATATTGATAAGAATATGGATTTATTATTCATCCTTGAGAATCAATTTGCTAATAGTAAAATTTCCAATTTATCCAAAGATAAATAAAATTTACATTAGTACTAATAAAATTCATCCAAAGATACTATTACTAATATTTTAATATTACTAATAACAAAAAAATCATTTAATATTTTATTTATCCAATAAAGAGATTCCTTCTCGATATGATTGATAGATAATTTATTATTTGAGACATCGTTAACTTGCAAATGAGTCATGAATAATATTTTTTTTATTTTTCACTTTTCCAACTATATGCATTCATAATCAAACTTTTTTATAATAGTAATATTTAATTTTACTTATAATTTCTTTTATCATAATTTGATTGCTTTTATTCATCTCCATCAACAAATCCTCTTCCATTTTCATTATCATTTTGGCACATACTATTCCTGCCTTTTTTTATTCCTCTTTTGAAGTAAAATATTTTCTTTTTTATATAAAATCATATTTGGATGAATAGCATTATATTTGTAAATATCAAATTATTGATACAAATTTAGATTTTCTATTGATATTGATGAATAAAAAATAAGAAAACCACTTACTTAAGGGGTCATTTTACTCATCAGATTGTGAGAAGTTGCATCAGCTTTATCAGATTGACTTTTAAAGTCTAGATGGATGTTTTACAATCATTGATCACAATGATCAGTTCATTCGAGTGTAGCTTTTCTGGAAGAAAGATATGAATCTACCACCACTGGAAAGTAGGCAACACACAATGAGGAATACATGTTTAACATTGGAAGAAGAAGTTCTGTTGGCTTCCATTGAGACAGTATGCAGTTGATGAGTGGAATATGTCTCATCATATTCATTAAAAAGGGTCGAGCCTTGCATTAATCCTATACTGAGCCGCAACTCAACTCATTCCAAAATTATGGAGATACAATTCAGAAAAACCAACTACAGCACCAGATATGCGGTGTATACACGCGACCGGTTTGCCGTATCTGCTCTACCTGTTCAGCTGTTCTAGCAGCCTGTCGATTCCTATTGGCTTCAGCAACGGCTTGTTTGTGCTCTACTCGCCGGCGTGTTAATGATAGCTTCTCGACCAACTTATCCTGTGCTCGGGCTTTCATCAGTTCAGCTTGGGCCTGAAAAATAAAAATGAGATACAACATAAGTTCAAATAAATTCATAGTTTGAAGTTGCAAAATGCAAGGTTAATCCTGGAAGCGGTGAATGCTTAGGAACTGGCAATTACAAGTATCAAAATCCCACAATAAATATTCATAAAAAACACAATTTTGAAATCATGAGGTTTTACATCTGAGAGACAAATTGGACTTGACCGTCTAAACAGCGGTTGAGAACCACAGGAGCATATAAATAGTGTATATGGCTTCTTGCTGATAGGAAACATTTTACAAAAGGTTCAGGGACTGGTTCTTGGATGAGATAAGGATGCAAAATGGAGGAATTCTGATATCTGGAGTGACATTTAGTTTGGACATGTCCATTTGTGTAGCTTATTTTCACTTTTTTACCTTATTTAGATTTGCCTAAACCTTAATTTAAGAGTGCTTAATGAAGAAATCGGCAGATACCAGCGAAGTACAGACAAACACATGCAGGACGGAAAAGTATAGGGATGAAAAAATGGTGGTAATTTTAGTGTTAAACGTTGTTACCAATTTCTGGATTATGGTGGATGAAATTTAGTTTTTTCCTAGGCTCTCAAAATGGGATGTATCATTATCAATGTTCAATGAAAGAGTACTAACGAGTGAATGATTTGATCGAGAGAAAGCAGAGTGGAGATCTGATGTGACTTTTCTGGACTGTACGAGACTATAAACCATCTTTTTCTTCACTGTACAAAGGCTAAGCATCTGTATCCGAGTATGATTTATAGAATCAATGGATTCAGTCTATTGACAAGTGGCAAACAAACTCGAACTCACTATAAACCAAAGAAGAGGAAATGGAGGTCTGGAAACTCTCAATGCTGCTCTGATGTGAGCATTATAAAAAAGAAAGAAATTGCATGTTTTCTGATAGTTTTCCTCTTTCTGATTTGCTAGGAAACAATTAATTTTTGTAATGTATATATCAGGATGGATTGGTGGCAAAAGCCAAGAATGATGAATGAGAGAGTCTGATCCTGGAAAGATGAAAGTTGATGTTTCTAGAACATGTTTTTGTTTTGCCTTTTCTTTTTCTCACATATTGAATGTCTCATTGTGGTCTTCTTCACATTTTATAAATGTGTAAAGAGGTGGGATGATCCACTCTTGCAATAATAAATGAATAAATAAAGTCTCAAATTAAAAATTAGCAAGTGAAAAGTACCTCAACTCTCCTCAGTTTAGTTTCATATTTTGCTTTCTGATGGTTCTCCCAGGCTTGTATTTTTGCCTCTTCTCGTCTATGCCTGAAAGAGATCACTTGTTACAAACAATTCATCATACTTGCAACATTCACCAAACATGTAATGGTATTTGATGTGTTTGTTCATGTATTCAGGTCAGCAATAAACAGATGTGAATTCTAATGTGTAATACCATGTTGGGTTTTTAACCACAGGAGAGAAATTCTACCGTATTAGCACTAGTAAAATTAGATAAATGCCCATTCATGTACATTACTAACAGGTGATTCAAGAACGCCGAGAACTAAGACAAACAACACAGAACATGAAAAAAAAAAAAAGGAAGGTGGGGGGTCAGTGGTGGGTAGGGAGTATGATGTGAGAACAAAGTCAACAATGGGTTAATAAACAATTTAGGTCCTTTTTTTTTGTCGTGTGAGAAAATGCATACCTCTATAATTTTAGGTAATTTCTCACTTTCAGCATATTCTTTGAGGATGAACTTAGCCGTGGATAACACGTGGCAGGCTCTGTCTAATATCCTCTTGTCTCTCTATTCTCATCAATTGGCTGACTAATATTTAGATATGATGCAAGAAACTCAAAATCCAAAAGTAATGTGTTGGATGGAAGAATAGTAACCAAGTATTTATGTATCGAAAACCATGACCAAGTCCATGTGTAAAAACAATTTAGTAAGGTATCATATTGAGCTAGAAGAAACAACCTCTCTCGCTGTTTGTATTAATCATCCTAGACCCTGCATGGCAAGAAGCCATGAACATGCACTAGGCTGCCTTGTTTTAGAGGGTGAGCCTCTTTGTCATCTTAAGGTGTCATATGTTGAGGCAACCAAAACCTATCATAAATTGACTTATTTTGGTGAAGAACACCTTTTGATTGAAAAGCTAAAATTAGACTGATTAGAGACAGTAATTCTTACTGTTACATAATGGAAGGAAGTTTGCAGTTAATGTATGAAACTGGCGAACAATATATATAATCAGAACCATTTAAACAAAAGAAGATTATTCCTCCCTTATGATTAAAAGGCATGACCTCTCCATATTATTCATCAAGTCAACAGTTTATTCCTCCTCTTACATCTTATTCATTGAAAATAACTATTACATACTAATCGAAAATTATTAATAATCTTGTTTAAAGATATAATTGTGGTAATAACTAAGTTTATATTGTATAAATTATCAAACTTTTGATATAGATATAATTGCGGGAAAGAGATGAATACCTAGCAGTATATTCAGATTTTTGAGATTCCTCCCATGCTGCTGCACGGGCTTCATATTCTGTCTTGATCTTTTCCTGGTCCAAGGGGGGAGAGGCATGTGCCATGTCATCTTTACTGGCCCAGGAAGCGATGTTCATCTTACCGAGTTGTATGCCAAGGGCAGCTATTTCTCTCCTTGTTTTCAGTTGCAGTTCTTTGTCAGATAATTCTCTGTTCCCAGAGTTCTCACTCTTTCTTGATCGATCATGTGTATTTGCTTCTGCAGCAGATGATGCTTGTGCTCCTTTTTTGGGACTCGATGGTATTGAAGAAAGTGGAGTACGGGCCGGGGTCATGGCTCCGACAGGCGTCTCATTCCTCGATGGGTCCTGGCTCGGAATAGGTGTCATCTCTGTTCCCACATCTCTCATCGAAACCGACTGCACTAACGGGCTGACTGCATAATATAAGCACTAATTTTGTTGGTAGCTATTTAACAGAAGAACAACTCTTTAGTATCTCAATCAAATTCTTAACTTTATGCAGCTACTATCCAATGTTAGAATTGTGTGATTAGCCAACAACTCATTGTCATTTAAATGAGTGAAACCTACAAAATTTCAAAATTTAAGGTTAAAATGAATCTGGGGAGCACACGAATACGAAATTCTATAAGCATTTATATCAATATGTGGAACAACTCTTCAGTATCCGAGTAAAATTCTCATGTTTGTGTGGCCACTATCTAATGTTAGATTTCTGCGATTTGCCAATAACTCATTATCATTTAAATGAGTGAAACCTACAAATGATCGAAATCTTTAAGCAAGATTAAAAGGAAAAACATGGCAAGGACATGATAAGCATTTCTAAGCATCTGAGCTTCATGGTTATAAATGTACTTGAGCTCAAAGCAAATTCTATACGCATTTATTATCAACGTATGGAGGAACATTGGCTTACCCGTCGCTTTAGCAGTAGATTTTTCTGAGACAGCATGATTAAATTCTTTCTTAAAACAACCACCATAAGTGCTGTTAACTGAAGATAAATCTGTCAATCCGCTAGTCGAATCCAAACTGGACTGCGAGGAATTCGGAGCAAAAGAGAACTTCTCGGCCACATTTTGTGAGGTAGATTTCGTGGAACTGCTCGTTTTAGCATCTGGTTCCTGCATAAGAGAGTGCCTGTGGTCTGCACTCGCAGATTCCGGAACAAACACCACCCGGTTGGAAATGACTTGGAGACTCCCAAGATTCAGTGCAGCAGTCTTCTTCGAAACATTTGACTTGACATGCGTAATTTGTCGATGAACAATCCATCTCTCTGCATCGTTCCACTTGGATGGAAGATTCCTGACAAAGGGGCTACTCGCTTGCTGCGATGGTCTCTCGCCTTTATGGAACTCAAAGCTGCGTGCACTGCCATTGTCATGTCCACTGTCATAATCGAAGCTTTCTTCGTCTGGTAATCGCATCGGATGTACCATGCTCAAGTTGCTGGTCGGCTCAGCCAGGCTAGAAACAGATTTAACAGTGTCCTGAGCTCTGTTGCAGCAGATGTCAGCTTTCCCTTTGGGGAGAAACTCCTTTCGGAAAGACGGAGTTTGATCGCCTTGTCCATAGCCGAGAACCTCCTTAACAGACAACTCCAATCTCGGAACTTCCGAACTCGCACCCACATTCAGGGAAGATGCATCTTTGGAGTCTTTCAAGCTAACTACGAACAAAAGGCATACAAGAACCCCTTTTTTTTACCTTGTATTGTCGACCCAATCGCATATTGACATAAATCATCTACCTAATGCTAACCATTACTAACCTTCTTCGTCAAGATCTCCAGCTAATAGGCTGTGCTTCGAGTGCTCCATTTCCTCTAGCTTGGAAGGGGATGTTCTGGATGAACTGTTCCCTCCTTCCTTCCTTCTGCCACCGTGAGATCCTAATAGTTTTATCCTGAGTTTACTGGGAGAAATTACTCCCATCTGAAAACAAAAGTTCATCAACCAATAGAAGCAGAGTTAGATTTCTTTCCACTACACGTCATACTCATTTTAACCAAACAAATTGAAATGTGGAAAGCAACATTGATTACAATCCCTAAATATCTGGAAAATCTCTTATAACCAAATCAAGACATAGGCAATATTCAAGATGAACCGTATGCATCAGACTTGGATGGGGAAAAGGGGATACAAGTAGAGGCACGGATCAAAATCACATTAAGCCTTCAAGAAGTACCAAATGAGCCATACACAAAAAGGAAAACAAGGCCTTTCCACCAAAATCTATCGCTAATGAGATATACACACTTGTCCACCACTGTAGGCGAGAGAACAAAAGACTCGGAGACAGAGAAAGGCTCAGAGCAAAGACACAGCCTTCAGACAAATAAAACTGTAGGAAAATTTAGTGCTACAGTATGCAGCGATAGATTCATCTGCGACAAACATGAGATCAGAAGCAAAATGTTATTCTGGTACCTGAACTTTGTGAATCCTCTCATACTCCATTTCCGAGAGAGAGAGAGAGAGAGTCTGGCGCTCTGCGAGCAAAACCTCAAGAGGGTTTATGTAGAGAGACGTGGGAATGGGACGGCGATGTATTCAAGTCCTCGGGAGCGTCGAGCGGCATGACTCGCTGCGCTCATTGCTTTGACTCCGCTTAGATCCGCTGCAAGATTTGGTCGTCTTCGAGAGTCCAACTTCCGCCCTACCCATCCTTCTGCCTCTCGTTGCACGGTCGCCCGGCGTGGGCCCCAATTTAAACTATCACGTGTCGCCATCGGAAACCACTAGTTTCCTGTCTTACACGACGCCCAGGGGTTGATGATATCCGCCAAAGAAATGTACATAGATTGCGGTGGTAGATTCTATCAGACCAAAACGTCAGCAAAAATCCATGTCGGAAGAGAGGGTTTATTAATAATAATGATTGGCCCTCAATGTTTGTGAAAAGAAAATTAATCTTTGTTCATCTAAAAATTTTTTCCCGCTCGCTAAGATTTGAATCATTCTTAATTTTTCGTCTTCGATTTGGATGGTATTAATCCTTGATTGGAATAATTTCGGTGGCGAAGCAAAAGAAACAACATCATACCTAATCCACCATCCCTTAACTTCCGGAAACCTTATGGGCCGCACCATGAGAGACGTGGACTCGATCCCGGACGTTGATTCAACATTGAGATTGGCGCCGTTGAATGCTTGATGAGTGCGGTCAAAAAAGGCACTGACTTCCCGACGCCCCAAAAGCCAAAGGGTCAACAGATGGACGGGAGAGTGCGGTCACGGCCATCCCATCCCATCCCCGATGTGTCAGATGGTTGAGACCTCCATAAACATCACAAGATTCATGAACATTATTACATGAACAAATATAAAACGCAATCTCATAATGTCAGTTTCCCATATATTTTTATTGGATGCACAGTGGAAGAGCTGCGACGAGGCTGTCATTTTTGAGAACATTGTCCTGAGAACACCAATCCACGAGAAGCTTGTTGCATGAAAAGACGACAGGAACACTGTTTCCCATCGAGTGTTGGGATTGGACATGAGCAATATATATGGAGGGAAAAGAGGTTTGAATCTAAAATGTTCATCATTGGGTGTGTCTGTGTGTGTGGGGGGAGCAGTGAGATGCCAAAAAAGCTTGCTGGTTTTGTGGTCATGGCAGAGACAGTGCTCCCCAAGCACGACAGGGCAAGGAACACGAAGATGAAGAGGTTTCTATCATGCGTCCACTATGTCCAAAATTGTGCCGATGCAATGAATTCTTTCTTTCTTTCTTTCTTTCTTTTTCAGATCAGATGATTTGAATTCTTGGATTATTTGTATTTGAAATTTAGTATTAATTCGTCTTAAATCTTAATGGTGATGTGGTTGATATGATAATCTAAGAATATATCAATTCTCATGATCTACCAATTAGTATGCTTGAGAAATAATCAGAGAAATGCACCACAAATAACCAGAAAGGTTGAATAGAAGATATCATCACTGCAGCGCAATGAGAGTCAAATAATATGCATATAGATGGATACACAGGAGGAGTAAGTGGAACAATTGAGAGTGAGATTTCAAGTGTGATTTGAAATAATGCCCTCTCTGTTCCATGATTCTCCATTGCTAACATGAACATTGCTGTGATTCTCCATTGCTAACATCAACATAGCTGTTGTCTGTCACAGTTGACAGAGTTGAAACAAAAGATCATCCATGATCGAATATTCTCAAGAGGCATGAACCTTAGACCACAGATGCATAGATCAATAATTCTGCAAAAGATCTCCAAGCTCAACTGCATGTCATTCTAATTGCTTGAGTATAGAAAAGCTCTTACATGATATATCCATCCATCTTCAAACTGCATCATAAAAGAAGGAAAATCTTCCGAGTACAGGATTGTACTGTGATCAGAAAAAGTACATTACAAATGGTGCCAAAAAGTGTTGGCTCATCTATACATCCTTATCGATGTCTCAACAACAATACGGTTCTTATCTTCATCCACAAGAAAAGCCAATGCATTGCACCACCTGTTTCATCTAATCTTCCTGGTTTCACCTTTGCTTCGTAGATTCCATCTCCTCGGTCGCGAGCAAACAAAAGCAGAGGGAACGAAGAGAATACTGCGGCTTTCTTCATCCGCAAGGCATCAACCATTCCTCTCGTTCCTGTGGCACCGACGGACCGTAGCATCTTATGAACTCTACTTTGTCGCGTAACATCCTCGAGGAACTGCTTGACCGAGCCACATCAATGTCGAAGCATGCACTGCCAAATTAATGTGGAGGTTTTAAGTCATCCGCTGCCATGAATTAATGTTTGACAGCTACAAATCACTGACAACTGAGCCTTGTACCATCTCCTGAACACTTTTTTGAGTGTTGTTTCCAGTTATCTTTACCAGAGAGAGTGAGAGAGAGAAGCTGCTTGTTCTTTTGGCAATGAGGAGTGGAGAGTGGATGGTCATTTATGGGGTTCTGATCGTGGAATGCTACATGGGTAATGCCTCTTCATCTCCTATTTACTTTTTTCTTTAGTTCGGATCGTGGCATTCTTGAGTTTTTTTCTTTCTATTTACTTCCATTTGTTCTTTAATCTTACCTTCTTGAATGCTTTCGGGGGAGTCCCCAATGTCTCAAATGCACGATACCTGTTCTTGAGTTTTTTCTTTCCTTCCAGCTGACCTTTCTGCTTGTTGATCTGTGAATCACAAGTTTCTAATGTAGCTCAAGTTCATCTATTAATCTCTAAGTTTGTCTGACATGCCTGACACAATAAAACCTACATTTTTCTTGAAGAAGATATCGTATATGGCCATTGTTTCTCCCTCAAAATCGACATACAAACAAGAAGCAGAAACCTCCAAAGCTAGCAGTGGTGCATCTACCATGTTGCTTATGTGTGATGAGATTTGTTGGGAGGTGATCCAAGTATCTATGGTTCGGATTTGGGTTCATCTATCTATAAAGGACAGACCATTAAATATTTTCGTTTGGATTACTCTCTTTCATATTGTTTGGTCGACTATAGCTTCAGACTCCATTCACCATTCTTATTGTCTGTGTTCTTCGTCCCTTTCGTGAGAGTCATCGATAAATCTTAGCAATTCAATTTTTTCTTTTATGGATTTATAAGATTAGGATCATAAAGCCACCCGAATTGATTATTGATTACTGTCATGTTGTTCTTCTGTGATTCTTCCATTCAATGAGAAAACAAGTCTAATTCTCTTAACGTTGTTTACGATTTCATGCCATTACGGACATCATGTTGCTTGATGATCCATTGGCCATCGGGTGTTCTCTCTCTCTGTTTCTCTAACCTCTGGCCTCAGGCCTGGTCCTGTCTGATTCCATGGAATGATCAGTTGCTGCGCCGGGGGCAAGACTCCAGCAGAAGGCCGAATCCACCACCCCCATTCCGACCTTCTCTCCTCCTGAAGGCAACACAACATTTATCGACGGCACCACATGGTGTGTGGCTCGTCCGGGGGTTTCACAGTTGGACCTCCAGAACGCACTTGATTGGGCCTGTGGACTCGGTGGCGCTGACTGCTCCCTCGTCCAGCCCGGCGCCGCCTGCTACCACCCGGACACACTCCTCTCCCATGCCTCGTACGTATTCAACAGCTACTATCAGCAGAACGGCAACTCCGATATCGCGTGCTACTTCGGTGGAACTGCAGCCGTCGTCAGAAGAGATCCAAGTAAACTCTTCGATGTCAAATTCTCCAAGTTTTCTTTCTGCTGCAAACATGTTGATTAATAGACCACTGCATTCTGATGTCATGACAGGTTATGGGTCCTGCAAGTTTCTCAGTTCAGAGTGAGTACTGTTTCCTGAATGGTTTGATTTCTGAGCTCTGCAACCGTACCGAGCAGGCTTCCTTTGTGCATGCAGGCCGGCCTCTGCTTCGCCATTGTTTCAGAGGAGCTTCCTCTTGAAGATTGCGGGAATCTTGATCCTTCACTGTTTAAACACCAGATTAGGATCAGCATAGGCATTGTTGGATAATTTGGATCAGCATCTACTGCATCTGTAGTTGGCTCTCTAGGATTTTAGTGGTTTGAGACCTGCAAATGGATAGTCAGACATTCCATGATCATGAGCTTACTTGATAACGCCGTTGTAATCGTATGAATCATTTGTAGGCTTAATATCATGTGTATGATGTGCTGAGACAGCATCAAATTCCAGCAGGTTTTTCTTTCTTCCATTGGCACTCATTACATGCTGGTGTCATGCGTCACACACGAATGTTCAGGGAATTATCTTGTGCGGCATCATCCTGTTCAGGAGAAGATGAGTTCTGATTAGAGCAAGAACTAAAACAAGACTGTAGTAAGTTGCTCACTGCACGGTGAACTCTGGTCTGTCATCACAGGACAGGCTCGTATGACAGACAGCAGAGCCATTATCCAATAGGATCAGCAGGTACAAGTTGAAACTTCACCTACGACGATCACCAACCTGCATGAAAGAAAACGAACCACCTCATCAACCGAGAAGACTGCAGGAGGCCCAGCTCTCGAGAGCCTCAGATCCAACACTCGGGTGAGTCCCCTCCATCGATTCATGAGACTGGCTGGGGCTGTCTTGTCTTTATGGTGATGGCCTCATTGGCTGCTATTTCCAGGCAACTTGAAACGGAAAGATGATGGAGAGCAGCGTTCTTGTCAACTCAATGCAGTGTGTGGGCCTGCTGTGACCACAAAGGAAGAGCAAGAGGTGAGGAAGAGGGAAATGGAGGCACTAAACGTGAAGATGGCCAAAGAAAGTGAATGGACCACCTAGGCATTTGCAGGAACCACTTAATTCTCTCCTTCTCTCTCTCTCTAAAGACAGACAAATGATTCATGTATCATAATTCATTTAGATATATCTTCAAATCATGATCAATTGGGCAAAAAGTCAAGCTAGAGTTGAATTTGATAGTGATCGACCCTTGAGAAAGATGCAAGGTCTGAAGTTTGAATGAGATATCATCCATCACTGTTCGCATCAACTTGTGTTCACCAACACAAGATGTCATGGAACAAAATGAACAGACAATATGAAATTGATTGAAGATTGTGTTGGATTAATTCTACTCTCTTCCTCAACCCTTCTGCATTAGACTAAAATTAACACTGATGCTAATTATAACTCCCAACAGCAATTCCATTCTCATGCCTTGAGGAAGCCTTGCTCAGGTTTCTTGTGAGATGAACCCAATTGACCACATTAAATTTTGGCCTCCGAGTTAGGAACTCAACAGCTTCCAAACGTAATTTAATGCTCACATGCAACACTTGAGATTTTGGTCACACTCTCACGCATATACAAGTAAAGGTATGACCTCACCGTTGAGGAAGACCTGCAGCTCTTCTGCTTCCTTCGCTGAGATGTCTCACCCAATAAACCAAGCAAGCAAGAGCAGTCCCTTCGGCAACCTCACCCTGGAGGAGTTCTATCGACAGCATCACATCCTCCACCGCGAGTCCTTTATGCTCAACAACCACAACATGAAGATCTTCACCCAGTCATGGCGCCCGGCGTCGCCGTCCGCCGCAGTCCATGGCCTGGTCGCCATGATCCACGGCTACGCCTCCGAGAGCAGCTGGGTGTTCCAGCTCACCGCCGTGGCCATCGCCAAGCGGGGGTTCGTGGTGTGCGCCCTCGACCTCCGCGGCCATGGCCGCTCCGAGGGCCGCAGAGGTCACATCCCCAGCATCGGCCCCCTGGTGGACGACTGCGTGGCGTTCTTCGGCTCGGCCCGGTCGGCCCATCCCCACCTCCCGGCCTTTCTGTACGGCGAGTCGCTCGGGGGGGCGACGGCGATCCTCGTGTACCTCAGGGAGAAGGCGAGGTGGAGCGGGCTGGTGCTGAACGGCGCCATGTGCGGCGTCTCCGCCAGGTTCAAGCCGCCGTGGCCCCTCGAGAAGTTCCTACCGCTGGCGGCCCACGTCGCGCCGAGCTGGAGGGTGGCGGTGACCAAGTCCCTGGTGCACCAGTCCTACAGGGAGAAGTGGGTGAGGGAGCTGGTGAGGAGGAACCCGAGGGCGCAGAAGAGCGAGCACCCGCCGGCGGCGACGGCGTTGGAGCTGCTGAGAGTGTGCGACGAGGTCAAACGGAGGGGCAGCGAGGTGGCGGCGCCGCTGCTGGTGCTTCACGGGGAGAGGGACTCGGTGTGCGACGCGGAGTCGGCGGAGCTGGTGTACGAACTAGCGGGGAGCCAGGACAAGACGCTGGCGCTGGTCCCGGGCATGGGGCACCAGTTGATCGGAGAGCCAGCGGAGACGGCGGATTTGGGGTTCGAGATCATATTCTCCTGGCTGGAGAACAGGGCCTCTTCGTCGTCTGGCCATGGTGGTGCGGCATAAGTGCCGCTGTGTGGAATGCTTCTGCGGAAAGAAATAAAAAAAGAAGCTCAGATGCGCTGGATTGTCGTCTAATGTAATCAGACGGTTGTGATTGAACCCGGTCCATCAAACCAAGCACATGTAATCCTCACAGCTCCTTTTCAGAATCGAACCATCGATCTCTGGAAATGTTAGCTAAAGTCGATAGTCACTGCTCTTTTGGAGTAGTTGTGATACAAATCAAGATATTAACTTATGTATCATTATAGATATGTATACGCTGATTTGTAATCTAAAAAAATCAGACGGTTGTGATTGAACCCGATCCATCACACAAAGCGTATGTATTCCTCACAGCTTCTTTACAAACTAGCACGACCCAAGATTCGAACCCTCGGTCTCTAGAAACGCTGGCTATAGTCGCTAGCTACCAATGCCCATGGTACACGTGTTACCATTTCAAGGAAATAATATCTATAAGATATGTATTGCTGTATATATACGGAAACAAATAAAAAGAAGCTCAGATGCGCTGAATTGTCTTCTAATGAAATCAGACGGTCGTGATTGAACCCAGTCCATCACATCAAGCGCATGTAATCCTCATTGCTTCTTTTTAAATTAGCACCCGATACGAATCGAAACCTCAACCATTTGGAAGAAAGGCTATAGAACTTAGCCACTAGTCTCAACGTTCGGTTGCGTTATCTAACTCAAGGAAATATATTAAATCTATACTACTGTTGACAACCATTACATCATCAAGCATAATAATATATAACAGGACTTATTTATTATATATATATATATATGCTCATCTACGCACGGAGCACATAAATATTATTCATTATATATTAGATTATATGATCATATTTAATTAAGTAAAATATATTATAGATGTGATTAAATTCAAAATATAATTATTGATCAATAAGAAATAAAATCTAATTATAGTAGGATAGTAGGAGATGACCTTATAAAAAAATCTCTCTTAATTATGATTTTTGGATCATATGCTCTCAATCTCTATTCTATCAATTATAGTATTCTGAAAAATAGGAAGGTATGTAGATTCAAGATATATGCATATTACATTATATTATTTTGTGACATTTGAGATATCCCGTTGATTATTATGTTTAAAAGGCGCATACATTCTATTTTTGATTTATGATACTTGATGTCAATCATAGTTTTATATTTTCACAAAAAAATTTTATTACTTATAATTGACATCAAAGTCATATAATTAGCTTCTAAGTTATCATAGATTGTTAAAGAAATTAGATGATTTATTTGTTCATCAGATCTATATCGAATTATTATTTCCATTTAGATTGTTTCAAATTATTATTTTGAATTATTATATCTGATAACACTTAGTCATTGCCTTTAGGTCTATATGCATTTTTCGATCCCTGGGTTGCCCAGGGTTATGAGCGATCCATGTTTCCTCATATTTCCTTTCATAGAGAATCTGTGAATGACAAAAGAATAAGGGTCTCGAACGAACGAATATGCATTGTTCGATCCCTGGGTTGCCCAGGGTTGTGAGCGTTCCATGTTTCCTCTCATAGAGAATCTATCAATGATAAAAGGATAAGGGTCTCGAATGAATGGATGTGCAGTACTACCATCGTTAGGTCATTGCTGGTGGCACTAATATGAGCAATAGTACAAGCATCATACATCAACACATATGATAACCACAATGCTACTAGTTTAGGTCGGTTGTCTCATAAGGCTAAACAATACAGCGATGATTGCATAACACATTACTTAGGCGACATTGTTGCATGCAACAGTGCTTCTATGGGTAATGAACGATAGTGCAATCGTGACTATCATCGATAGTACATCAAGAGGTGATGATGGTGGTCTCGAGCGTGGGGCACCAATTGATCAGAAATCCAATGGAGATGGTGGATTTAGGGTTCGAGATCATATTCTCCTAATTGGAGGTTAGGGCCAAAAGGGTTTCTCCATCGTCTGGTCATGGTGGTGCGGCGTGAGCTACATCTGAGTGCTACTGTGTGGTATGCTTCTCCAGAAAGAAATAAAAAAGCAGCTCATTTGTACTAGTTGCCCTTATGTCTATATGCATTATTCGGCCCTTAGGTTGCGCTAGATTTCAAGTGATGCATGTTTCCTCCAATAGAGAATATGTAAATGATAGAAATATATAGATCTCGAACGAAAGGATATGTAACACTGCTGTCGATATGTCCTTGCATCAGAAATTAGACGATCTATTTGTTCATTATATCTATATTGATTATATTAAATTATTATTTTCATTTTAATCATATCAAATTATGATTTTAAATTATTATATTCAATAACGCTAAGTCCTTACCTTTGAGTCTTTAAGCATTGTTCGATTCCTTATTGCCTTGGGCTATGAGCAATACAGGTTTTCACCCATAGAGGATCTGGGAATGATAGAAGCTGCGTCGAATGCATCTGCCGAAAGAAATAAAAAAAGAAGCTCAGATGCGCTGATTTATCATCGTCTAATGGAATCAGACGGTTGTGATTGAACCCAGTCCTTCACATCAAGCGCATTTTATCCTCACTGCTTCTATTCAAACTATGCACGCCACCCGAATCGAACCCGCGATCTCGAGAAACGTTGACGATACGCGTTAGCCGTACATTTATTGGTGCAATTGTGTTATCTCGAGAACCCACAATCTCTAATAACGCTTGCTATATTCGGTAGCTACCAATGGCATTGTATTCAAACTCGAGGAAATACAATCTATAAAATACATATTACTGTATATATACGGAAACAAATAAAAAGAAGCTCAAAGATATGTATTACTGTATATATACTGAAACAAACAAAAAGAAGCTCAGATGCGCTGAATTGTCTTCTTATGGAATCAGAAGGTTGTGACTGAACCCAGTCCATCACATCAAGCGCATATATTCCTCATCGCTTCGTTTTAAATTAGCACCCGATACGAATCGAACCCTCAACCATTCGGAAGAAAGGCCGTAGAACTTACCCACTAGTCTCACCGTTCGGTTGCGATATCGAACTCAAGGAAATTTATTAAATCTAGACTTCCGTTGACAACCATTACATCAACAAGTATAATAATATATAACAGGACTTATTTATTTTATATATATATATATATATATATATATATATATATATATATATATATATATACTCATCTACGCACGGAGCACATAAATATTATTCATTATATATTAGATTATATGATCATATTTAATTAAGTAAAATATATTATAGATGTGATTAAATTCAAAATATAATTATCTATCAATAAGAAATAAAATCTAATTATAGTAGGATTGTAGGAGATGACCTTATAAAAAAAATCTATCTTAATTATCATTTTTGGATCATATGCTCTCACATAGATCTCTATTCTATCAATTATAGTTTTCTAAAAAATAGGAAGGGATACGAGTCTAGCTTCTTTCGTATGTAGATTCAAGATATATGCATATTACATTGTATTATTTTGTGACATTTGAGATATCCCGTTGATTATTATGTTTAAAAGGTGCATACATTCTATTTTTGATTTATGATACTTGATGTCAATCATAGTTTTATATTTTCACAAAAAAAAAATTTATTACTTATAATTGGCATCAAAGTCATATTATTAACTTCTAAGTTATCATAGATTGTTAAAGAAATTAGATGATTTATTCGTTCATTAGATCTATATCGAATTATTATTTCCATTTAGATTGATTTGAATTATTATATCCGATGATACTAAGTCCTTGCCTTTAGGTCTATATGCATTGTTCGATCCCTGGGTTGTTCAGGGTTGTGAGCGATGCATGTTTCCTCTCATAGAGAATCTGTGAATGACAAAAGGATAAGGGTCTCAAATGAAAGGGTGTGCGGTACTACCATCGTTAGGTCATTGCTGGTGGCACTAATATGAGCAATAGTACAAGCATCACACATCAACACATACGATAACCATAAGGCTACTAGTCTAGGTCGGTTGTCTCATAAGGCCAAACAGTGCAGCGATGATTACATAGCACATTACTTAGGCGACATTGCTGCATGCAACAGTGCTTCTATGGGCGATGAACGATAGTGCAATCGTGACTATCATCGACAGCACATCAAGAGGTGACGGTGGTGGTCTTGAGCATGGGACACCAATTGATCATAAATCCAACGGAGACGGTGGATTTGGGGTTCGAGATCATATTCTCCTAGTTGTTGGTTAAGGCCAAGAGGGTTTCTCCATCGTCTGGTCATGGCGGTGCAGCGTGAGCTACATTCAAGTACTGTTGTATAGTATGCTTCTGCAGAAAGAAATAATAAAAAGAAGCTCATATGTACTGGTTGCCCTTAGGTCTATATGCATTATTCGATTCCTGGGTTGCCCTAGGTTGTGAGTGATATAGGTTTCCTCCAATAAAGAATATATGAATGACAGAAAGATATAGGTCTCGAACAAAAGGATATACAACACTACTATCGATAGGTCATTGCATAAGAAAAACTTTATTAATTATCTTTTCTAAATCATATGCTCTCACCTTCTTATAAGCAAGACATCCATATGATGATCATAGAGATATCTTATCTCACCTCCCGATGCATATAATTTTAAAGAAATTGGATGATCTATTTGTTCATTATATCTATATTGATTATATTAAATTATTATTTTTATTTTAATCATATCAAATTATGATTTTAAATTATTATATTCAATAATGCTAAGTCCTTACCTTTGAGTCTTTAAGCATTGTTCGATTCCTTATTGCCTTGGGCTACGAGCAATACAGGTTTTCACTCATAGAGGATCTGGGAATGATAGAAGCTGCGTCGAATGCTTCTGCCGAAAGAAATATATAAAAAAGGAAGCTCAGATGCGCTGATTTATCATCGTCTAATGGAATCAGACGGTTGTGATTGAACCCAGTCCTTCACATCAAGCGCATTATATCCTCACTGCTTCTATTCAAACTAAGCACGACACCCGAATCGAACCCGCGATCTCGAGAAAAGTTGGCCATACTCGTTAGCCACTCGTTTATTGGTGCAGTTGTGCTATCCTGCTCAAGATAGCATAATATATAGAAAAGTTCAATAATAAATATTTTTCAGATTTCATTAGAGAGCAGAAAAAATTAGAGTTCTTGGATCTCATCTAGAGAAATTTGACGATTACAAATTATGAATATAAAGTCACCGAGGACTCAATCATGTGCAAGATGTGCGTTAATAAAATTTGAGAAATAAGTCAATGTTTTTGGATAACTAGAGCATGTTTTGCTTGCGAAAAGTTGGATCATAAAATAAAAAGTTACCCTATCAAGAAGAAAGAGTTACTATCTCTTAAGCCATCAGCGCTCATGCTAGACAATATATTATCAATGAATAAGATTCCTTCTAAACCAATGATCGAACTATTGATTATATTGAATTATTAATTTTATTTTATTCATATCAAATTATTATTTTAAATTATTATATTCAATTATGCTGAGTCCTTGTCCCTAAGCATTGTTTGATTCCTTATTGCCCTGGGCTATGAGCAATATAGGTCTTCACCCATGGAGGATTTGGGAATGATAGAAGCTGCGTCGAATGCTTCTGCCGAAAGAAATAAAAAAAAGGAAGGCTCAGATGCGCTGATTTATCATCGTCTAATAGAATCAGACGGCTGTGATTGAACCCAGTCCTTCACATCAAGCGCATTTTATCCTCACTGTTTCATTCCAAACTAGCACTCCACCCGAATCGAACCCGCGGTGTCCAGAAACGTCGGCTATACGCGACAACCACCGCTGCCGCGTTCAATGTGTGTTAACGTTCTCCAGGAATATATTAAAATAAAAAAAATGTATTATTGAAGAATTAAAATAGAAGCTCGGATGCGCTGGATTGTCGTCTAATGGAATCAGACGGTTGTGATTGAACCCGGTCCATCACACCAGCGCAAGTAATCCTCATGGCTTCCTTTCAAATTGGCACGACATCTGAATCGAACCCACAGTCTCTTGAAAGAGACGACATTGGCATTAGCCACCCGTGCTAATGTTCGGTTTTGCTATTGAACTCAATGAAAATTATTAAAGTATATTATATGTGTTACCAACATATCTATATATATACATTACTCTCCTAATTATATTTCCTACATTCTATGCTCTCATATAGATTATTAAGATGCATTGCTTTCTGACATTCGAGATATTCTTTTGATTATTTTGTTTTAGGTATATATCTTTGATTTAAATCTTGACATTATATTTTTGATTGTATGATTCAATTATGCTAATGAGTCAGTGAGCGATGTTCTTATTGAATGAAGGAAGGATAAGGGTCTAGAATGAAATGAAGGCTTAGTAAGATCTTATTATTTCTTACTAAGATCATATTATTATCTATTAGAAGGAAGGTTTTATTCGTCGATTTTTCCATATGGATAACCTTAAGAGAGCTTTAGAGATCAGTAGGGGCGCTGTCCCACGTAGTTGCCTGGCGGACTGTAGTTGCAGGTGATGAAGACGCCGCCGTCGTCGCACACCACGCGGGCACAGCCCGAGGTAGACCGAGTTAGCCAACACCACCTGGGTGTAGTGCCCGCACACCTTTCCCCCGACGCAGAAGTTGGAGTCATAGTCGGAGTACTGCTTCTCCGCCACCCAGAGCGACACCGCATCCCTTGAACAGGTTCTGCCGGAATGGAACAGCTGGTCGTCGGCCCTTCTCTTGTTGGCGTAGGCCGCGACGCCGTCGTCCCACGACATGGGGCCGACCCCGACGCTAACTCGGACCGTGTTATGGGCATCGAGGAAGTCTTGAGGAGAGTTCCGTGCGCGGACCGTGTGCGCCATGATCGCTACAGCGATGAGGCACAGTAACGACGGTAAGCGATGGGATTGTGCCATCCTTTCGAACTATGCTAATCTTTTCTTTCTCTTACTCTGCTTAGTCTCTCGCAAAAAGTTATAGGATGAAGATGACAGGGCTGTAGTTTCTGTACAGAGATGAGAGGGAGTTTTATACTCTGGTAAATGAAGGACGACGCTTACCCTGCAACAGCCGCCATGGAAATGAAGCATGCGGATACGCTTTTCTTCTTCTTCTTTCTTCTTCTTCATCTTCGTCTTCTTCTTTCTTCTTCTGCATCAACGCATGCGACAAGTAGTTGGCCGTCTAATTACGACTTCTCGATTGGAAAGTAAGCCATGCAAAAAGGTCTTCTTCAGGGGCTGCGCGATGAAGTGCCGCTGAAGGATCGAAGCACGACCGGCATCGATCATAAGGATCCATGCACGTGCATCGAAGAAGCAAAACCATGCATGCATGTCCCTCGAAAGAAACGGGAAGAAGGTCATCGTGCACCTCTACTTCAACACGTAACTTATCCATCTACGCATCATCTTCCCAAGCGCACGGCGACTTTGACAGAACAACTGTTGAACATCGTTTACCGGAAAGGATGTTTACCGATTACATGTTCTTCCACACGTATCATCTTCCAATCTCACGCATCTTCTCGTCATGTCTTTTTCTAATACAGAATACAGCTCAAACAAAACAAACAATTCTGCCGAGGGAGAGGTTCTTCATCTGCGGAAGAAAGATAAGGATAAATATGTTCAGCTTTGACATCGAATCGAATGATCTTTACATGACAATCTTCATCATCACCCATCCTAATTTCTCACCGGGAATCAAAGTACTTAAAATGGATGAACTTTTGCGACAAGTGTTTGGTTCACTTACATCAATTATTTCTTTCCGAGAGCATCTATGAAATTTTATTTACTCGACTAACATATGTGAAGAACGACTAGATTTTGGTCAATAGATGACAATCTTGAATTACACTCCACATGCTTAAATTGCATGAGTGGAAGATGATTAAGGAAAGGCTTCGTTTTCTTAATAATGTAAGGATAATATTTTGCCTTTCTAGATTCGATTTGTTTGGTCACTCAAAAGTTCCTTTCGATGAGAAAGCAAACCATAGCTAGAAGCTACTCACAATAATATAATGGAGACTTGGCAGAACTTGTGGAATCAGTTCCATCTACTTTTATAAAAAAAATTGCATTTAGATTGTATATAGTCAATATTAAAAGCATCACAACTATGTAGAGATGAATTTAAGGTAAAATAAGATTGTCTGTTTATGCATTTCTCTATCTTTATAATCTTTTAGTATGGATTTTATATTGTCACTATTTCCATCATTTTATCTCTTCATATACTATTTTGTAACCTTGTAATGCAAATGCATAAAAAAAAATCTCGATCGATGATGATCCGATCTATGAAATGAATACGAATCCATCTCAAACAAAGTAAAAAATAAAAAACTAAGAAGCAAAGTCTTAGTACCGACGGATCATTAACAATTTAATTGGTGATAATTCCATCAACAAGTCACCTTTTTTCAGCGTCTTTATATCGTTTGTGTTAACAACATTTGCAGCTCTAGTTGTGTCTTGTATCTTTCACCACATCTACGTCGGATAGATATAATTATGGAGTTATTTATTCGAGGTCTATAATCAATGAAAGATTTTTTTTTTCTTTTGGGGGTAAAATGAAGGAATTACTGATTACTACTATGACATGCTGCATGAAGTGCATGAATTTTGTGACATGGGTCCGAAAGCATTATGCACAAATTAGAGTTTTAGTACATATTCATCATTCAATACAGTACACTATTTGGCTCTTAGCAGAAATATATAATCTGAGCATGGTACACAAATGTACTAAATAATTCCCTTTTTTCGGACAAGCTTCATAAAAATATTCTCAAGGTTCGAGTAGCTATTGACTACTGCAGCAACAAGACATTAACTTCACAATCACAGGCAATGTCTGTAAACTCTTGGGAAATTTTCATTTGGTTTTGATCCATTGATTTTACATTGACCAAAACTATTTTTTTTTTCTTTCCTGGTTGATAGAGGAATAGAAAGATAAAGATAATAATAATGAATAAAAATTATCTAATAAATTAGTTTGGCTCAAGGAACAAATGAACTCTCAGGCATAGCATCTCCACACAAATTTCGCGATGATGGAGTCATTGGAATAACTTAATTCATTGATTCATTATCTTATTCGTAATGTTCTTACGACTTTTTATAGGACAAAGTATAAGAATAAAAATATATAAAAATAAAAAATTATAATTGTATCAAATCAAATATATGATCTCAATAGACTTAATTTGAAGATAATAATAATAATAATAATAATAATAATAATAATAATAATATTATTATTATTATTATTATTATTATTATTATTATTATGTCATTGATTCATAACTTACTTTCTATTCTATATGAATTTTTAAAATATTCCTTTATAATCTTTAATAAAAATAAAATTTGATTTTTTATTTACTTTGATATTGTTACTAACTTATTTCATAATACAAATATCCATAGATTAATCAAATTTAATTAAATAAAATATAAATTAAATTGTTGCTCTTCTGCTGATTTGTAGCATCCAATGAGCACATGGAAGAAGTAATGAAATAGTACATGAGAGATTTGTACCATAATAATTATTATTCTGAATGATCAGTATGTCTTTCTTCTGATGATAATGTATGATTTCTACCATCTTATTTGATTTGAATCACACCCACCAACTCTGTTGTTTATGTTCCTTCCGACCTCACGCATCTCTTTCCAAAGTTCCATCATCGAACTGTATCCAACACCTGTTGCCTCATCATGCCCAATTGCTGCGAGCCAGGTGGAGCTCTTGCTTTCCCAAGAATCTTTCCTGTTCCCACCCTAAATACAACACCAACAGTAAATTGCTTCCGGTCTTAATCATGCTAAGATGACTACTAATCCATGAAACTATCATTTCCAAGGAAGCATAAAGGAGGAGATGGAAGTCCTCTACCGACCCATGCGTTCTCCCGTGAGACCAGATCTGAAGACGAGCTCCGACGAGAAGAGCAGGAGATGGAAGTGATGGGCACGTGAGGTGTAGTACGCTCTAAACCCATGCCCACATGCGTTGTTCCCATCCATTCACGCCTCCAATCAAACACTTGTCCCTCCTCGGTTCTTGGCTTGACTACATCGTTGGCATGAATTAAGATGTTGTAGTCGCTTGATCGAACATCATTTCCTTTGTGATTGATTTGATGATGGAAAATAAAGCACCAGAGACGGCTTTTGATCTCTTCTTTCTATAGGTTTCAGGCTTGCTCGGGGCTCTCTTTCTTCCCCTTCTCTCTCCTTAGCATTGAGTTCATCTTCTGCCATCCACCTATTATATTTTTGCCAGCTTTCCTCTCTGCTCCTTTCCTTTCTCTCTTTTTGTTGTTATTATACTTTCTATAGGTCGACAAGTGAGGGATGGAGGAATTCTACCACCTAGGTGATAGTGGTAGTGGTGGAGCCTTCACTACATCACCTACTCCACCGCAGAGAGCGGCCGTCTGCAGGCAGAGCTTCCGAACGCCACCACTTAAAACCGAAGCTGGACCATCTCAGTCCCAAAAGAGAACGATAGCGACGCAAGAACAGGGGGAGAACTCACCAAGTGATGTAGAAGAAGACATCAAGGCAAAGATCATGTCGCACCCGCACTATTCTACTCTTGTCGCAGCCTTTACGGACTGCCAAAAGGTCTCCTAATTCTTAACCTCCTATGCTGCAGCATAATTTCGTTGTGCTTCTCTCACCGACTTGTTCTCATGTGCTTCTTTCCAGGTGGGAGCGCCACCGGAGGTGGTGGCGAGGCTCTCGACCATCGCCCGCGAGCTCGCGTCGGGCCCGAGTTGCCATAACGGCACTTCTGATCCTGACCCTGAGCTCGACCAGTTCATGGTACTACTAACTATCCCTCTCTCTCTCTCTCTCTCTCTCCATACTCTCT